TAATTGTTTATAAATATTACAATTCTAATTATTAATTCTAATTATTATCTTAACTAAGATTCGAAAAGCACTACTCTGGTTACACTGATATTCCACAAGCCACTTTAAAGTGTTTTGTTTTGTTTGTTTGTTTGATGCATAAACTCAATTTCATTGTTTATTTTTAGATGTAAAGGTGATTGTCTATAACACCTTGATCCTGCCGGACATGAGGTAACCATGGTGACGGCAATAGCAACCTGCCGCATTTTCACAGGCAGCTTATAATGGTCATTGTGGGTGTTGCGGATTCTCCTGACCTGCTGAGCAAGTCGTCCATGCATTGCCTTAATCAAATTCAGAATCTCATCTATTCATTCCAAGTCCATGTTCATCGCAGTTGCATATATTATTGCAGTTCCAGTGCAGACTTCTAACCGTGAGAGCTTAAATTTAATTGAAACCGATGATTATCTTCACTTAGTTTGTAATTCAAATGCATAAAACAGCTTTTGCAGGCAAATTATGTGTGTGTCTACTATGCAGCAACATGTATCAGCCAAATAGATCTCTATATATATATATATTGATGCTATAAGGGCAAAGTATACCAAAATATTCAGTTTTAATAGTTGTATTTTTCAGCCTCCAGTGTGATATATAAAACAGCATATGGAGTGAAGGGAATTTCTATTTGTTACTCTGGCTGGCTGTGATTCAAAAGACTTAAGAGAGGCAGAGAAACACGAACAACACTGAGTCATCGCGATTCAGCTGAGAATTCTCCAGATGAAAGCAGTTTGCTCAGTCTGAGTTAAAACTATCAAACACATCCTTCTCTTCGCTGTGTCACGAGGAGTCGTGTCTGTGGCTGCCTACGGGACCTTGTAGATGGTTTGTTTATTTTTATTTTTTCTGGTAAATCTTCAAAGATTAGATTAGATTTGTTTCGAGAATGAGATTTCAGATTAAAAAGATGTTTAATCAAAGAGATTTTTGCATGGATTCTACGCAGCATGCAATCCAACAACGCAGTCTTTCAGACAAAAGTGCACAAGAATATATGTTTAAATATTCACCATCCTTCCATGTTTAAAAACACATTCATGCTGTTTGAAAACACACGTTGAGTTGTTCTAACATATAGTTTCACCCATACAAACATTACAATAAATAAACCATGGATAAATAAAGGAATACATGCATAAATGTATTTATAAATAAAACATGAAAGATAAGAAAATACAAATAAATAAATATTAAAAGAAAAACAAATAAATAAAACATTGATTGATATTTCACTAAATGCTGTCCTGAACATATTTCAGGTAAATGCCACTTTCTTGGTTAAAATTTCTACAAAAGTTTACAGTGGCATCATGTGGTAGAGATATGAATAGCAATAGAAATGTGTCAGTGGAATGAAATAATGAATTATTGCGATCAAGGACCAATAGTAGATTGAAACAGCATGATTGAAATTGTGTTTTAGCATGAATAAAACTATATTGAAGAGTATTCCTTTTAAGTTCAAAATGCCATATAGAACTACATATATGTTTTGCATAATAATTAGCACGCATTTTCTTTGCTGGTCATAATTTCAGAGTAACTTTGTTTACCTTTGACTTTCATTAATGTTTTTTTATTGCTGAAAACAGGACTAGCTCTGTGTGATTAAAACACTTGCATTTATTTGCTAAATTTGGAACACAGCTTGTTTAGATTTATGGCTTTGATTTTCTGACAGTTTTAGAGTAAGACATGTTTTCAAAAATATATATTTCATAAAAACAGTATTTTTTTATTTTTCATAATAAGAAAATTAAACCTCTCTCTCTCTCTATATATATATATATATATATATGACACTGTGATTTAATAAACTTTTTTTACCTACATTTTTTAAATAAATTTGACATCTTCATTATTTCTTACCTTTCTTATTTTCTTAAATGATGCAATGTAAAGCACTTTGAATTACTACTGTGTATAAATGTATTGTATGACTAAACTTCCCTTGCAATACATTTTCCATTCTTGTTTGTGTAGATGGTGGTTTGTTTATTTATTTCTGGATCTGACAGGCAAAGGTTAGAATTCAGTCCTCAGTTAACATATTTGGTAATATTGACATGATTTGCTGTTAATTGCTTTCTAAGGTTGTTACTCTCGTCTCCAGTGTCTCTCCAGGACCCAGTTCAAATCACTGGTGGTGTTGGAGGCTCTGTTATATTACCATGTTCATACAAGGAAAAAGAGCTAAAGCCAGAGGAAATTAATGAGTTTTGGAGATACAATAATAGCATGGTTGTTTATAATATTGATAATGGCAGTCCCTCAATAGAAGGCCAGGATGCAATGTTCAAATATCGAACAGAAGGTTTTCCCACAGAGTATGTGAATGGAAACTTCTCTCTCAGACTCAACCATCTGAGTTTCATCGATGCAGGCCAGTTCTCCTGCTTTATCTCACTTGTGGATGAGGAACACAAACTAACACTGATAGTCAAAGATGTGGAAACTTGGAGTTTTCTTCCAAGGACGTATGGCTTTCCTGACTGCTGTGTTTTTTTTTTTTTCACTATATCTGAGCTTTCTGTATTGCTAAACTTTGCTGCATACTGTGCCTTTCTTGAATCTATAGTCACAATTGTATTGTTTGTAAGGGTGATCCAGAGAAATGTTGATGCATCTGTGATGCAATTCAAATGTCATCTGAATACTTATGTCAATGTGATATTTCAGTTTCTTTCCTTTTAGTACATTTGCAAATCAGTTTTTTGCTTTGTCATTATGGAATATGCATGATATAATATAAAATAATAAAAATATATATTATAAAGCATTTTTGCATAAAGCTGTTCTTTTTGACAAAATGTATTGAAATTCACAATTCTTAGAATTACGCATAGGATTGTTGTTATTTGGAAGTTTTATATATAAAATTCATATATGTACGATTTTTGTATTTTAAACATTTTTATAAACATTATTTAGTGCATTCAGGTCACAGGCCTGAAGATGGCTGAAGAGCTATCAGAGAAGCTACGAGATGTTTGTATGATCACAGTATAGAAGATATTCATCTGGATCAGACGATGAAGATCATCCAGCTTTTCATCTGTGAGTTTATCACATCACATTTAAATAAGCTGTGTTTATTTATTATTTTGTCAATTATTATCTTAATAAATGTGTTTTGTTTCTCTCATAGATCTGTTCATGTGGTCTCAAGCCACAGAGAGTCTAACAAACACAGCAGTAACTTTAGGAGCTGATGTGAATATAAGCTGTGATCTTGATATAGAGGAGATTTACTGGTACAGACAGAAGTCACCGGATCCTTCAGTGTTCATCTTACGCACTTTCAGTAGCACATACGAAGAAGGTATTCATCAAAACAGCATCTTCAAACTCAAATACTTGGTGAAAACTAACAGTCGTCTGTTCATCAGAAATATCACCACTGATGAATTAGGAGTTTATTATTGTGTGAAAACTAGTGAACCACTCAGATTCAGCAACGGCACCAACGTCTACATCAGCGGTGAGTTGTTTTCTCATTTCAAATGTACTTTTTCTCATTTCAAATATTATGGCTTTCCATGTTGAATATACTGTATATGTTTATAAATTTGTTAAAGACTGAAACGGAGATTGATAGAATTAGAAACCATTTACAGACTCAGTTCACAGGAATCAGACAGGTGCTTCACAACACGAGACACCATGGAGGAACCTGACCATCATCACATCTGCCCTGCTGAATGTGCTTCTGATCATTGCATTAATAGGTTTGTTCTGCTTTTACTGCAAGTATGTTCAGGTCTCACTGAACTAACTACAAGAAGACAATACTCTAGATCTACACAAATGTAACCATAATACATGTGCTCTTTGTTTGTTTAGACTGTTATAATGTGTGAATTCAGTCATGTTTGATTGGTTGTTGCTTCAGGTTTGCTGAAGAGCTACATTGATGTAACTGGACGATCTAAAAATTGCACTGCAGCTCAAAACTCAAATAACCCAAAGGTAAAATACGTCTTCAATAAATGTTATATTATTTTTACCTGTCCTAGTGATTATTGCAGTAAATCCTTTCAACCTCAAATGACATGAACAAGATTCATTATCTGAATGATCTGAAAAATGTAAGATGTTACACAACTTCGTGAAACACCGTGAGACGGAAAATATTTAAAAATGTGATTCAAGCATGTCATGCTTGAAATATAAACCCCTTCATCCCCTGTGAGAATTTATTTGCAAAAATGACCGGCTGACTGTACATCATGTCTTACATCATACGGTATATGGCCATTGATATATAATATATTTCTCTTTCAGTGTGCTGAAATTGATTTTTCCATGTGTCCTGGTAACACCAGGCATTGCCCAGAGCAGAGCACTGCTGTCCTCTACAGCCAATGACATTTTCTGCTGTTCTACAGTTTATGTTTTATTATCTGTCATACCACTGGAAATCAAGGGCACAAACCTGAATAAAAGTACTAAAGCGTACTTTTTTTTTGGCTTGCATACTAATTGTTTTTTTTTTAAATAATTTTATACATATTGAAACATCTAACTTCTGCACAGCTCTTGTTTGTGGTTTACACACAGCATGGTTTCGTGCAAATAAAATGTTCCACTGGTTTGGACACTTGATGAACAACACAGTCACATATGCAGCAGGTGGTTTAAACTTTGACCAAGTGAACATGAACACACTATGAACAAATGTACACTTAGACCTATTTTACTACTGATTTTCACACATTTTATTCTGTTCATCTTATTCATTTCCATAAAACTGTCAAACTGAATAAACATTTCAGTAGGAAACAGAATAACAGTAGTAACACTGACCACAAAGAACAACAACTACATTAAACAGAGATTTAAATGTTACAAGGGAAACACTTTATTTTAAGGATCAATCTCACTATTAACTAGCATGCATATTACTAACATATTGGCTGTTTATACTTATAAAGCACATATTAATGCCTTATTCTGCAGGACCATATTTTAGATTCCTTAATCTCTACCCCATATCTAAACTTAACAACTGCCTTACTATTAATAAGCTTCAAATTAGGAGTTTACTGAAGCAAAAGTCATAGTTAATAGTTAATTAATAGGGAGAATTGAACCTTAAAATAAAGTGTGACCATTAAAGGTATGGAATTATAGATTAATACTTAAAAGAGAAAAATCAAGTACTCTTATATATGGGTTAATGTTTGATTTTAAATAAAAGAAAGCACACATGTGGTCAGAGCAAACCTGCCTTTAACTTCCTCATGATTGTGGTTAAAATCACCCAGTTATTTTGAAAGCGCTGAGGTAAAGTTTCATCTTTAAAGTTGTGTGAAAGAAACAAGACTGCCCTGTTTTAACTTTAGTGTTTTAACATCCTGAAGGCCATGCAGCTTCTTCTCTGTGAGTTTATTGTACATTATGAATATTTTAATGTGCTTTGTAAATTAATAAATTGACTTATTGTTTTATGACACAATTACATTCCAAATTGTTTTGTATGTATGTGTGTGTTTTATTTCACAGATCTGCTTATATGTTGTCAAGCAGCAGAGACTTTAACAGATTTGGGTCAAAATGTGACTATAAACTGTGATTTTGATGTACAGGAGGTTAACTGGTTATTACTGAAACTACCAGATTCTCTGGTTCTGATATTACTCTCTTCTACAACTTCAGCTGCTTTTTACTACAATAAAATATTTAAACACAAATATTCAGTGCAAAGTAAACCTCGTCTGTTCATAAACAATGTCACTCTTGATGATTTAGGACTTTATTACTGTGTGACGACAGATGCACCTCCAAAATACAGCAGCGGCACCAGACTGTACATCACTGGTGAGTGACCATTCCCTGATCATATTGATGTTATTCAACAATTTACTATACACTGCATTCTTTTTTAGACAGTTATGTAATCTTTAACTAAACATTTGAGTGTTTGCACAGTGCTGAATATTTTATATATTATATAGAACCGACTGAAGAGAACAAGAATCATGCAGTGGTGAAGAACACTGAGAAGAATCAGACACACTGGCAGATTATTATCCTGATATCTGCTTTCATAAATGCTCTTCTGATCATTGTGATCATAGGTTGTAATCATAGAGTTGATGAAAATATACATGTATGGCTCCAAATGGGAACATTTTGGTCTTAAATTTTGCCATGCTTAAAAAAATGCTACAAAATGGACAAAAACATGAGACAGTAGGCCTATATAAGACTCTGTTCTTATATGCTGAATCCTGTTCTTCCACAGATACTTTACCATTAATAATGTCATATACCTTGAGTCTGTCATGTTGTTTCCAATTCCAATAATGTCTTCAACTGTAAGCTGAGGTTCTTTAGAGGAACACGGTAAAACAGCAGAACCTCCGATAACACCCTTAACAGTGATCTGCAGAGACACTGAAAACAGAAACACACACACACACACACACACATACACAAATTAATCCATGTGTTTAAAACAAGATTCTCTTATCATCAACATTTTTGCATATCATCGACCCTTAGTACTCACCTTCATCAACATTAACAGATGAAGTAAAGCAATACAGCACCTGTAAACACAGAAATAATTGAAATATTTACTTTTATCAATGTAAAAATCAAGATTCACATTCATGTCGTTGAAGTGCATTGCTTGATTAGTGCAATAGTTTCAGCATTTTTAGGTAATTTTTGCATTTTCAGATGTTTCTGTGTGAACAGGCAACTGTTGGAAAAAAAATTTGAAAATAGCATGTGCTAGTGTGGATGAAACCAAAGTCCAGATTTTATCTGGATTAATGTGGATGTAGACTTGCATTATCTGTCTGTATAGAAACAGTTGCATACTTTAAATAGGCACAAGTTCAAACATGCTAGTCATGCTACTCTTTAACTCCTCCAGCAGTCCGGATGGAGCCAAAAGTATTCAAACATATCAAAAAAAAAATGTCTGAATATTCTACTACTGGTAATAAAATAATATATTAATAAAGTACATAATGACTAGGTGGTGCAGTTTGAGATCATCAATCATTTTGAATGCTATCATTTAGCCTATTATTTATCTTTAGCCAAAGTCAAAGTCTGCTTTATTGTCACTTCTCCCACATGTACAGCACATACAGAGAACTGAAATTGCATTACTCTCAGACCCTTGGTGCATACAGATAACACTAAACACTAACGGTAGATGCAAATGCAAAAGAAAAAGGATAGATAAAGTAGCACAAGGCACATGACAGATGGAGTGCAAACCAGTGAAATAAACACTGCAGATATAATGGGTGTAGTGCAAAAAGAGCTTATCAGTCTGTTTAAAGTGACAGAGAGCTCAGAGAGCAGTCTTATTTAAACTGTCAGAAGAGGTAGTTTGCAGTCCAATGCTGCACAAAGTGACTGGTCAGTGTGTAAGTGTGGGAGGGGGGGAGTGGCAGGCCGGGGAGGGGGAGGGCAGAGGGTCAGAGTCGGATGA